TAAACCTGAGGACTCACTTGCGATCTCGAGGCTTCGACAAACTCACCGTGTGATAAAGCTCGAGTGTCTATCTACACAGCGTAAGACACGAAATGCATACTCGACAATGCCGAAAGCCGCACTCGAAACCCTCGAAGATTCTAGTTGAAGCCCCATCGTCGGTTCCCCAAAAGAGAACACTTCTCGAGGAGACGTTCGTTCTTTAATTCCGCCGCGACGGAATCGTCCTAAAGCTGTAGGTCCTTCGAATCACTGACTCTTCGATTACAATAAAATGAAAACAGACATGCCGGACGTTCAGGAGAGAAAGGAAAAGACCGACGATCGATTGGGATCGTCGAAGCTGATCTCCAGGTCGCGAGTGTGCCAGGAACACGGCGAAGAGGACTGCCCGAGCGAGAACGAGCACGAGTTCGAATCTCTGGAGTACGAAGAAGACGTTTACTACTCGAACCTGACGGCTACGCCGAGCTTCGACGACATCGACGAGCTGGAGGACGGCGAAAACGAGATCGTTGTCCACTGTTGGCGCGACTCGAACGGGGAGATCGATGAGATCGTGGTAGGCGACGCAAATTTGTCGGTGGAGACGCAGTTCTTCACCCCCGATGCCGAGGAGGGATCGTCTAGTCGCGGGAGGAGGAAGAAGAGATCGGTTAGAGTGATATTCCAGGACTTCTCCAAGCCTTACCTGGCCAAGATCAGCAACAGCCAGAACTACAAGAAGTTCCTCGAATTGGTAAAAGGTGCACAATGTAACTCGGGGATGAAATCTAATTGGTGGAGGTGGCTGGAAACGGGAATCATTGGCAGTAATTATTTATTATATCGGATAAGTGTGGAATATATACAGACACTTGGGAATTGCAAACGCTTGAGATGTTTAAGAGCGGAAAGATGAGGGACAATGGCGAAAGCTCAGTGTTCCTGAGTCAAGCTCTCCAGCTTCAAATAATGAAGTTTGGATTTCTAATTTTCCTAGTTTCACATTTGTATACGATTACAAATATTGAAAGCATTCGCTCGTTGGGAGCTGCAAGCACAACAGAGATATATAATATACAATAATAATAGCAATAATGAATTATTATACGAGGTGACTGAGAAAAACACACTGACTTACTATGGAAAGCTCAGTATTCCTGAATTACGTACCCCGGGTTCGAGTAATTATAATAATAATAATAAATTAGGGGTGTTTGTCGAAATTTGCGTTTTTAATATTTTGATATAGTTGCAAATATCAAAAGTATTCACTCGCTGAGCGTACACAAAGAACCATAAGTAGGGCAGCGTTGCAAATATGAAAGTGAGAACTGTATCACTTGGTGTCGGTTCTACCTAACAGAATTGCCATAACGGTACCTGAAGGAAACATTATACAAAGTGTCTCGTAAAGAACCCGACAAATTTTTTGAAGTAAAATTTTTTGAAGTAAAATTTTTTCAAGGATCATTTTTAATGAAAAATGAAATTCGTGTTATACTTTAGATCAGTTTCTACGCATTATCATGATTATCGTTAATTAGCCTTTGTGCCCCGTGCATAAACTATTTACGAATCAGGCTGCTCGTAATACCGACGAATTATTAATCTCGATATCACTATACAGTATTTATTTTACAACCAGTTTATTTAAACCAGTTTCTATTCGTTACCAAGATCAGTGCGCTTACAGAAGAAATACTTCACTTTGATGTTATTATACAGTATTCACATTACAAGTTAAACAAGATTCTACTCATTATCAGAATTACCATTAATTAGTCTTCATGTCTCACGCACCAAGTATCGATGAACCAGTGTGCTCGCAATACAGAAGAAATAATACACCTCGATGTCGTACTACAATATTTATTTTGCAACGTACTAGAATTTTTAATACAGCTCTGACGCTATTAAGACACAATACAGCAAGTAAATTATACCTTTCTCTTCTCGCTACAATCCTTTCTTTCACCCGTAGATTTCTAAGCGCTTCTAATCGATCGAATTAATTCGCGTTTATAGCTGAAAGTTTTCGCCTAGTTGAAATTCCTTCGCTCGCCCCGAATCCAGACGTTCTTGCCGTTTGCAACACCGTTTCGCATCACTGGATTCGTGAAAGTTTCCTCTGTCTGTAAATTAGCGACAGCAGAATGTGCACACGGGGGATGAGAGGCCAGCGAGGAAAAATTCGTTCTTAATCGTTTCCAGGAGCAAAAAGCAGGAGCAGAAACAGTAAACCGCATACCGTAGTTCCTTTTTCTACGGTTAGTCACGCTTCCGGAGGCGGAGCATAGTGAAGTGTTCATCTGGATATTCCAGAGAAGCCTTTAGCTTTAAAATTTACTACGCGAAACGTATGGTCTTCAAGGACTACTCTAGTACGATTCTTCTAACGTGTTTTTTTTTCTTTTTGCAGGCGAGGATGCCACTCTTCACTCCTCGGGCTACATATCGCCGTCGTCGGAGTCCGTCGTGAGCGAGCTGCAAGGACTTTCTTTGGAGGAGCAGGACCGTCAGAAAGCAGAATGGAGCGCGGAGCTGGCCAAGGTATGTAGCAAACTGTTTCACCTTTCCATGAAATCATCAAACGGCAGGAATTTTGATGTATGACCTCGCGAGAAGGTTAATCCGCTATTTGTACTTAGCTTCACAGTTAATAGCATCTGAGACTCCTTTTTTTCTTTTGGATCCCATATGTCGAGACATCGTGATCATTTCAGTGACCCTGAAACGATCGTACCTAGTCTTACAACTGTGTTTACACTTTCTACCTCCGTATTTAGTAAGAATTTACGACTTAGAAGAGGACTTTCTGTATTAGCATTAAGCCGTAAGTTCGCGATGAAGACTGCGTCAATATTTAATAAAAAAAAAGCTACAGAAATTTTATAGTGATGGTATAGTGACTGTGTCAGAAAAGCGAGAAATTATTGCGAAATGAGAGAGATTACCTTTTTTATGACACTTAAGAGTACGGAATGAACTTTCAGAAACTAACCACGTCTAAAAAAATTTCAATAACGTGCCAAGACATGACAGCAACCGATTTAATCCCATCTCGAAAGGGTGGTTAATTTGTCTTAAAAAAAAAAAAATCAATTCGGTGAAACCGTGGAATTTTGGGCTCGCAAGTTTGACTCCATATCACGTCGTCGCGTAGTTGAGCATATTTGCGATGAATTTGAAGAATCCGCGTGTCGCAGGTGGAAGAGGAGATACAAACCCTGAGGCACGTCCTGGCGAATAAGATCAAAGTCTCCCAGGAGCTGAAGAGGAAGCTGGGGATCAGCGTGTGGAAGGAGATCACCGAGGACATGAATCAGGGCTTGAAAAACGTTAAGGAGAGCCAAGTGTACGTTTTTAGCAAATCGAAACCCATCGAAAAGCACGCATTTCTCTCTCTTTTTCTCTGCTCACCTGTCCTTCGCCCTCATCTTGCACGAATGGAGTCCCTTGTTGGTATTCATCCAGCCCTGTCACAATGCACAAGGTCCCCGACAGCGTGCGGATACTCCACGAACAATGAAAGTTTCCGTTTCATTAATTGCCGAAGTTGAACGAAGCAATTGTTCTATTTAATGAACGTTTTAACGAGTCGTTTCGCAATCTCTTGCTATGCCACGCGCGAATAATTGAGCGATTGGAACCGTAGCTGGAGGAGCTTTTCTTGCCGCTACATAGAAACAAATCCAAGTTGATAGAACATCTCCGTCGACGTTTAATCAATTTAGTTTCACGTAAAGTAAGTAGATGGCGAATTACAAATTAGCGAAGAATTTTCGTTTGCTTGCTGAAATTTTTCTGTTTTAGCACCTTGCTGACCTAGCTGTAAGGTTTGCAAGAGTCGCAAAGGCGGCGCTAGTGTCGTGTCTTGTATAACTTCCAGGGTTCTTCTTCTCAAAGATACTTCTGGTGACATCAATTTGAAATGAAAACTATAAAATAGAAACATCTAAATAAATTCCGACAAACTCTATTTACACGTATACCTATCAATTTTGTCAAGTATGGTTTAGGTATAGGTATAATATATTTAATCACATATAACATAAAATATATATTATTTATAATTTATAGACCTAGAGATCTATATTGTTTTCACAGTCGGAAATCGCATAAACTAATTTCAGTGTATATACGAGTAAACACTTAGACTGGTCAGCAGAGTGTTAAATTAATTATATTTCTTTGGTTTATTTTCAATATGATAGCACTTCGAGCAAGTACGTAGGATCTCCCTGATTACCATGAACAAAATTATAAGTTACGCATGTGCAACACTTATCTTACACGATATTTATTTTGTGTATTCATTTATTATCCTAATTTCGCGTATGGTGACGGATACCAATCTCCTCGTACCCCCATCGTTTATTTTCTGCTACTTTTGCCCTTCAGACACGTAGAGCACTTTTCTTTGACTTTTGGTTGGGTTCTCATTCAGTTATCAGAACGTCGGGGAGAAACTCGGTCAGTTCACCAAGGCAGTCACCGAGAACACTTTGTAAGTACACAAGACAATTCCGTTTTCCTTAGGGGACCAAACGTTCCCTCCGATAGTCATTAATCCTCGAAATGAAACCAGAGGAAATGCATCTTGTCGCGTTAAAAGTTTAGTTTACACAGTGTGTTGAAGTTTTAAGAAGCTAGCCAAAAGTTTTCCACTTTATACGTTACAGACTCATTTAACCGCATCTTAGTTACGCGAACGAATTAATTGCAGATGAGTATTGTTTATTATTTTCCTTAATAAAAACTCGTTTCGTTTATCACGATTTTTCTACCGATATAAAAAACTTGTAAGGATAAACATCATTTCGTAATGTTTACAGTTGATTGCTCGGGTCTGTTGAAATATTTCTAGCCTGTGAGAGAAGATGACTGACAGATGATGCTCTCTCGAAATCGCGAAGGCGGCGGTAGTGTAAAAAGAGAAACTTTTGGCGATCTCTTTTGTGGGATTTTCGACCACTGTTGGATAGAAGAGAAATGTTTGATCGTAGTTTTCGATACTCGTATCGGTCTCTCTAAAGTTGATATCTGAGTCAATAACGCGCTGTAAATAAAAAGTGCAACTCGCGAACGGCCGAGCCGATTAGTTTCCCGACAGAAAACTGATACATAAACCTCTAGCCGCGACAACGCTTGCGTAAAGTAATCGCAGAAGGATAAGCTTTATATAATACCGATCGAACAACAAACTGGATGCTGTAACTAATCCGTTAGGAGTAGTGATGGGATTGACACGATTACAAGTTATTAATATTTGTAACGTCTTGCGTTTATCAGTTTTTAAAATGAGCGTGCTTAGTAGTATTTACAAGCAACCATATTAACACGATGTTGATTCATTTAGTACCGATATCATCGTATTATTCATTGTATAATTACAAGTTCGATGTTGTACATTATATGATGATAAATTCTATAATATATTATTAATTACATAAACGTATATGTCATATTTGATAGCAGTTTATAATATCAATTAGTCTCGATTGTACCAGGAGACAGAATGTACGTACTATCATGTATGAAAAACAAGAGAAAATGAGAGAAGAACAATCATGCAGTTATTAGGTCCTTGAACAGCTAATATTACATCATCGTACGATTTATTACGTAATTAATATTTGACGTTATAAGATATACAATGACAAATTACATAAGAAATTATATGATGATACAATGTTAGCTGTGTAAGTGCATCATAATTACAGAATTGTTCTTCTCTTGTTGTTTTATACGTAAGCTTACATTCTGTCTTCTTTAAAAATATCGAAGTCAATTCATATTATAAATTATCATCAAATACGATCCAATACCAGGGTTGACATTACTCGACGAAGTTGCACAGTGCTTCTACTGCTGATTGCTTTACATATCTAACACGGTATCAGTCTTATCACCACGCGAAGTTGATGTGTGAGCAGATGCATGGCGCAGTATCATCGGCTTAATTCATCCTCGTTTCCTAACCAAATCCATCAGCGACCACGGGCCACGTGATTCCCCTTGGACGGGACAAGTTCTCCGTAAAAGTGTTGATTGTTCCCTTCTGTAGATTCCAGAAGACAGAGTCCGTGTTCAAGACCACGGCCGAGAAGACGACTAGCATCCTCGGCGGTTTTGGAAGCGGGCTGTCCATGAAGATCGGCCAAATGCGCAATTCCGACAGTTTTCGTTCGTTGGAGGAACGAGTTGGGTCTGCTTACGAAAACATGAAGGTAGCTAATTAACGATTCGGACGATCGATCGTCAAGAATCAGAGTCCTCGAATAGGGAAGATCGAGATCCAACGTTTCCATTATCGTTTTCAAGTCCTTTTGAAAATAGCGGTGACACTCTCGAGAGAGAAACGCAGAATTAGAAGATACACGTGTAGTTAGACCGCGGATGTTCATGTATTTAAAATCGGTCCAAATACCCACGTATTTCGTGATTTTCGTTATTTTCACGTATATTGAACCATTCGGTACGCCGATAAAATAGCCAAGCTTTTCTTCCTACTTGGTTAACAAATTCTGTGATTTCAAATTGCCAAGGATAATGTAGCTTTCTATTACTGACAACATTTTTAAAATTGGTTCTGTAGTTCCGTTTACCTCTTTACGATATTAATATAGATTCCTCGTAAAAATGTCCGATTTCATGAACATCCGCTGTCTATATACAATAAATACGCGCAATAACGCAACCAGGAAAACCACCACTTGTTTGAACAATTCGAGACAGGATTCTTTGTTCGTAAAGACCTGCCAAATACGCTGGCGAAGCTTATCAGACCCCGCCGCTGGAGCCTGTGTACTCACGATACTTATTATTGATTAAATAATTTATTATTTGCAGACAAAAGTTGTGCCTTCACGATCCAGTTCGATGCAGAGCTTCGACGACGCTCTTCGAGAGTCTGAGTCAGCGAGACGTGCGTCCGCGGCGCCGTCAGCTACCAGCCCGACCATTCCCGAAGAGAAGCTTCCGGCCTTCTCTGCGTAACATGCTGACGCGTCGGTCCGCGATGCCAGCGTATCGCTCTATGCTACTACTATCACTTTCTACCGCATTGCTATAATCAGGGCTAAGCGATGTTCGTGTACAATCGATTGCATATTTAAGTCGGCCGGGGCGAGGACTACGGGAACACGAGGTTCGAGTTTCGTTACGGTTGATTCGATTCGCTGTAACGCCACACTGTTGGGCAAAGTTTAAGAATACGATCAGAGAACAGTAATCACGATCAAGGAATAATCAGACATTACGGAAGATTACAAACTACTTGCGATCGTAGATTGCGAATGTATCAGGTGTAGAAATTAATTCCATTCCTCTGTAGTCAGCTATTTATAACTCCGATTTAAATGGATATATATTCTCGTAATTTTGGTATATCGAAGTAACAACCTTCTAAGTCCTCGTGGACGTTACACGCAGCGTAACATTTTACTTATTGTTATTCTTCTGCAGTTGTTATAACTAACTGGTTATGCTCGAAATCTATTGAAAGAATAATAATAAACAAAATTGTAATGGCTACCAGGTTGAGATTCAGGTTATCAGGAACTTAGAAAATTGTTACTTGAATGTTAAAACGTGACGACTAAATATTTCTACTTAAACTAGAGTTATAAACAAAAACTAAATAATACGTGATTTAATATAAAGGCATAGAATTTAATTTTTACACCTAATAGTTTGTCGATCACCGAACGTCGACGGTAATTGCAAAATATAATCATTGCCCAGCTTTGTGGTACGACTCGGACGATCCGTGTAATTGAAGACCCCTCGTGGGGGCACTCGAACATTGTTGAAATTAATATATACCGCATGATTATGCTTCTTTTCTATCCTCGTGTACCGCAGCCGGTTCGTCGGATCTATTATATAGTAGTGTGTAGCTTTTCGTTTTCTCGTGTTCAAAGTTGATTTCTAATCGTCTTTTTTTTTTTTCTTTTCTTAAGAAATTTTTTAATTTCGTTCCGCCGAGTCTCTCTCATTTTATTTTCTTTCGTTGATTTTATAATCGCAGGATTTTCTGTCAAAACGATCGTCGTTTCGCGCTGAGTTAGTTTTCGTTGGCAATCGTTGCACCGGGAAACGGGATTCTCGGTGTCGCCGTCACGTTACTCAAGAGGATGGCGATTGATCCCTTATTTTATCGAAGTTATTTGCACTATAGCAATTTTTATAACGCATAATAATATATCGTTGATACGTACCTTAATGTTTTTGCGTTTCAACTTGTTTTCGCACCATCGATTCATGAAAGTATAGACATACGTACACACATACACGCTTTAATAAATACTTACCCGATGGCGTTTATCTCTGTGGGACATAACCGTCGCAATATCGATATCCCTCTTGTCGAAAAGCGATACCTCCGCGTACTCCTGCTAAAACAGTCTCGGTAGCCTCCTCGCAAGACTCGTGCTTCGACAATACTATAGTCGTTCTGTGTGATAGAAGAGAATCGATTACTACTATACACTCCTCATAAATAATTTGCGTCCCCGCGAGTACGTTCATCGAGACATCAGAATTAATTTACACAAGGCACGGGTGGCCACCATCGCGCCGCTTTCTTCTGATTTCAACAATTACCGTTTTCACAGATTTTCATTATTAACAGAATTACATTGGGTAATCGTTAAAAAATTGCTACACTCGTGCAATCGTACTAGAAGAGAACGTTAGAACTAGCTTCTAACGTTTCGGTAACTTATTAAATTTCTCGCTTGTTGCACGTTAGTTGAAGTTTTCATTAACGAATTGTAATATAAAATCGAGAAATGTTTAACCGCGCGAAGTTTATAAAAGGAATAGGTAGAGTGATTTTATTTTAAATACATTCAAATTATAAAGCCCGTGTTTTAATCGCAAATCGACCAAAAAAAAAAAAAAAAAAGAAAGAAATATTTTCTCCTGAGCTCTATTAACGTAATTACACGTGAGCACGGGTGCTCGGTGACTTGGGAGCGCGGTCGCTTTTTTTCTAATAATTAAGGACACACGAAACAAGCGTAAACACGCGAATCTCTGGTGTATTTATCTTTGCCGAGCCGCTATCGCGCGTTTCGGTATCCATGTGTCACTCGAAACTCCTACAAATGTGTCGATATCGTGCGCTCATAATCGTCATCGACGACCTGCTACACAATCTACTTGTTCATATTGGTGAATAAATTATTTTAAGAAATGCCACACGTGGAAAATAATTTCTGTCCCAGAGTTAATGGTGCGCTGTGCACGTTGTACAGCGACTGTTGACAAGATAAAAAAGTGAGGGTTCGATAACGAATTTAAACGAAGAGGATGCAGACGCAGCGGAGAATGGGATGGTGGATTCCATGAGTGGTTGCACGAAGGTACATCGACACACGTGGTATTAAAAAAAGGAATTGGTCAACTACTTTATTGCCATTCTGCACGTGGTACAAAACATAGTTCGGGCGCGTACGAGCGCGCTTAAGTACAAAACAAAAACGATCCTCTACAAGTAGTCTTCTCCAGCTGCATGGCGAGAGCAAACAAGTAAAAAGGTGTGAAGAAAGGGAAGAAAGTAAGAAAAATAAGGAAAGAACGAAAGATGTGTGAAAGGGGAATAGAAACGTTGGGAAAGAGAGCTCTGTCTGTGTCTGTCTGTCTGTCTGCTCTGTGTGTGTGTGTGTGTGTGTGTATGTGTGTATGTGTGTGTCTGCGTGTGTGTGTTAACATTACATTCATACATATCTGTATATGTATGCGCGTGTACATACATAAACATATATATATACGTGTGTCGCACATATATCCGTGTATCTGTATACGTATAGAAACATGTTAACAACATAAAATGTAATTATTCACATAACATAATAATCCGTGATCTATAATATTATAACGATGGTTTTGTACTGGATAGGCCAACACATACGTTTCCTATATACATAGTCGGGGGGGGGGGGGGGGGGGCCTCTTTTAAACATTCGTTTCGATATTCTTTATTCAATTAAAATATAAAAGAAAAAAGAAATAATAATAATAAGAAGAAGGATCTATCATTTTCCTTAGTTATACAGCGTGCGAGCATTCGCTCGTCGCTCTTTGCTCGGGGCTTCCTGCAAGCTCCGTTGAGTATTATTTATTTATTCGTTAATTTATTCGTTTATCATCTCGCTGAAAATATCTCTGCGGATACACTTCGTTACCATGGTAACCTTGGGGTTGGGTACGTCACCTTAACAAAGGGCTAACAACACCGTCGCTATCGTCTACGATTAAAGTCGTACCAGCTAGAGAAGTAGAGTAAGAAGAAAAAAAAAATATAAATATATTTATATGTATATATATATATATATATATATAAAAACAAGGGGAGTAACATTAAATTAAGAACGCAGTGTAGAGTAATTAGAAAGGGATTATCGTATAATACAACGGTACCTTGAGTATTATTCAACGAGAACGAATCGCCGCGACGGCTGTCTGAACGTGTCGCTATCGAATCGCGAGCAAAACAATCATTATTTCGATCCTCAACCCTTGGAAGCCTGATTTTTATAAATTAAATTTAAAAAAAAAAAAAATATCAATGTATCATTTGAACAATTATCGTAGCTGACGTTTATGTTTCGTAACTTCTCTTCGAAAGAACGTTATGCACTGGTAACACACATACAGCCAAATACTAAAAACGAACCAATGAATTGAAACCTAAGGGATTCAAGGGATTAAACAACGATTCACGATTGTCGTTAGCGGGTCCCAGTTGTCGGCGCAGAGAAGGAATTTCAAATTTAGACTCTTCCACAATAATTTTTCATATATTTGTTCCGTTGTATAAAACAAGGCTTTCGGTTTGTCTTTCAGCCAATTGTGTTTTGCCTTCTAAATATTATTTGTCCCCACTGCAAACAATTATTAACTTAATCTACAATCGTCCCCGAAATCAATAGTCAAGAGTAATGCTGATGTTCCGTGAATGATGCATCAGAAGATCAGAATCGTTTCGCAATCGATAAAGATTTGTAGAGGCTCGTTATGCAATTGAGAGTCCAAAAAAAAAAAAGAAAGAAAGAAAGAAAGAAAACAAAAACGAGACGCCATTGTTGGAAGGTTCGATAGCCACGCGACTTATTTGACTCTTTTTGGCGGTAATGGACCACCTTCCCCCCCCTCCTCGTCTTGCTGTTTCAGACTACAGACGATGACGAGCTTTCTTTTGTTACGACAATAAAATTCAGCTATTATAGTCGACCCGCGACATTATCCTCGTTTACTCGATTCAACCGTGGTGACCTTTGCACGTGAACGTTGCACCTTTCCGTGCAATCTTCCATCTACGGAGACCATTGTTGTATCTCATACCTCGTGTTTACGGAGAGACGGGGGTGTGCCACACCTCCGTTCTACCTTCAGAAGGTTAACGCGCCGTAGCGGTATTAGTCAAGCACAACGCGGCACGGACGCCGAGGCAGCGAAAAATCTCAGGCCATGAGCGCGCAGAGGAATAAATCCTCCGCTGAATTTCGCCCCGTTTCTAAATCGCGTCCAATTTCTGCCGCTCTATCGTCGATTTTTCGACGATGGTACCGCGTCGTAGCTGTAAAATCAATCTGAATCTTAAGGATCGCGTATTGCTGCGATTCGACACGTTGGTCACCCAGAAATGCATGTCAGGACTTTTCATTAAGGAACCAAGGAAATTAATTTCAATAAAAGATGCGGCAATAGCGGAAATAACGACGTCCACGTCTAAATTTAATGCGATTCGTTGACTCGTTTGATCAGCAAAGATCGCCGACACCGAGAAACGAGTCAGTAACAAATCCTGTTTCTCGCACAACGGACTCAATCGTTATTCGTCGCCACTCTAACGTGCACCTACAATAACGATCGTAGGGTTACGCGAAATCGGGGGATCGATTACAGCCGCAATTCCCAGCGTGCACCGGGCTAACAGCGATTAGAAGGCGGGCGAGTCGTAATCTGATTTTAAATTGGTGAAAGCCGCGCCACCAGCGACTTTAAACACCGGTTGTGTCCCTTATAAGGCCGTGCCTCATCATATCGGCCCGAAGTGTAACGTTGCTCGCCGTCTATACTCGTGGTTTCGACCAACACAATTCAAAGGGGGGGGCCCCCCATCAGCACGGACGCGCGTTGATTGGCCCCTCGCGCGCCCTCGTCTCGCCGATAGAACCCTGACGACGCTCTTTCTGGCCGTTTTCGCTCGGTCCATTAATTAGAGCAGCAGTGATTCACGGTCTTCCTTTCCTGCTTTCCTGTTCAACCAGGTCAAATCGGGGCTCACTGTCGTTGCTCGATTACGGGAATCGGGCGAATCGTTGCTGGAGGAATTGCAGGCCATCGCCGGAAACAGAGACCTCGTTTAGGAGCTGACGACGTCTTGTTTTCGTAGAAAGTTACTCGAATCCAGAGATGGGCGGTACATTGTTTTGATAAATGGTAGATGGTAGACGAATGAGAATTTTATTTGCCGGATTTATTTTTAATCGAAGGGAGAGATTATTAATTTTTCGTAGAGACGCGTCATTGCGTGGATTGTATTCTTAGTTTTAATTAGTGGCCAGTGGATGCACTGTCGTTTGTCTTTTGGTTGTTGTTCGGCTGGTGTATTATCTAGTTAAGAATTTTGACAATGGAACATCTAGTTTCAGTAATTATAGGAAGAAGGATCAAATTTATATACCAGATTAATTCTTTGATGCAATAATTGCATTGAACATTAGTATCGTCGGTAAACGAGGAATTTTAGAAAGATGTTTGAAGTACATGGACCTAACTTGATAGATTTAATGTTAACATATATTTCGAATTACAGAAGTTTAGACGCAACATAGTTTGCCCTCGGACAGATATATTTCTTTCTGAAATAATAACAAAATAGAATTTGAGAAAATTAAATTAAACACTGACCCACGAATAATCAAAGAATATTTTCTCCTTTTTGGAGGGGAAACCAAAATTCGTGCAACGGAGAATTGAAGTAGCTCTCCGTGTTAGCCTAACGTCCTCGTGCATGCGCGGTAGCAAGTTAAAAACGAGTCAATTACCGTGCAGCCAAGATCGACTCGCGCGGAATTGTGCCCGTTGACTTTCCGATTGGCATGTTCGCGGTGGTTACACTTAATTAATGCGATAAAGAGATATCGGGACAAGATATTGTTGTCGCGATAACGTATGAAAATACTGCCTAACGATTACGATAATTCAGTGTTCCGTGGCCACTAATTATGCGCGGACTTAATTAGAATATTTATACGTCGATGTGTCCAGGCTGTTTCCTGGAACTACCTCTCGGCACCTACAGATTTATCAGTTCCGTCTAGAAATTCGTATTTCCTTTTGTTGCATTTGTCTGTGTGTTTTGTCGTGCTTTTTTTTTTTTCTTATCTATTTTTCGTGCTCGTTAACAACGTTCAGGAAGTCGACCTGTTCTACCCACATGCTTCCCAGATAAATTGATAAAACTTATCCAGATAAATGATTCAATCGAAATTTCAAAAGATTCTAACTTAATCAATCGCTTGCCTACCATCTTACATACGAAGAGGCACGATACTCTAGCTACCAAAACAAATAACTTTTACCGAAGATAAAAGAAAATCCGCGCTACGAGGGACGGTAGGGTTAACGAGGTGTCGCGATCGCGAGTCCGATTCTCGTCTAGGAACGCGTCTGGGAACGAAGATCGACCGATCGATAGACGCATGCTAGTCAGCTGCGATCCGAATGGTACCACTAATGGCCAGGCTCCAAATTACAACTTGATAACACGCTATCGAGGGAGTCATCTCGCTGGAAGCGGCTAACCGAGAGCAATCAGCCGGCAACACTTTCTTGCTCGGCCGGGTTAATTTATCGTCTCTTGGCCGCGAGTAGTGTCGTTTTTCTCGATGGCTCAGCCGGCAACGCTGATGGGGCCGATGAAAGGATCAAAGAATTTCCCGTCGTTAATGCAACGAGATATCAAACGGACCTAACGGCCCGTCAGGGGCCCTCGTCGACGTGGCTTCAGTTGTAAATTGGCTACGCGTCATTAATATCGGACTTGGCGAATTACCACATCGCCTCGCGGATAACGCGTTCGCGCCCAATGAACGAGAAAACGATAAATGCCAGAGCGGCTAATCGACTCCAACGACCGAGGAGCGTTCCGAACGCGTTAACGTCGAGCTACCTGTCACTCCGAAACGCTTTTGTGCTACCTATCGGTAGCGGAATATTTTTTAACGATTTAATCGATCCTGTCGGTTTAATTATTCCGTGGTCGTGTCGCTTAATGCATTGCGACGAGGATCCTCCGTAATCTTCTTCATCATCGACGTGGTATGCTCTTTTGTATATTTGATGTCTGAGTATTCTATTCGGAACGAGCATCGCGGTATTCTCTTTTCTTGGGATGTCTGCTAGTAATTCGTGGAACTTTTTAAAGAATCTACGGATAATCTTATATTAGGTCGTCCTATAAGTTCTTGCCACTTATTCTTCTGCTACTCAACACTTTATTTACCGGGAGCCTATTTATAGGCTTTTTAATTGCAGTATTTAGCTATTCGGATTTATTTACTGTGTCGATGATTGTCTTACTTACAATGATCAGTGAACAGTATGGAGGAATTATTGTCAGCCTAGATTGGCATATGCCACTATAGAAAATTCTTTTTTTAATTAACCACTGTTTCTAAATAGCCCGGGAGATAAAGTGTTAATATATAAAACATGCCCTTAAGTGTGTTATGAAAAGGTAATCTCTCTCATTTCACAATATTTTTCCATCTTTCTGACATAGTCATATCATAACAGTCGCTATACAATTTCTGTAATTTTTTTTATTATATATCGCCTCAGCAGCACGAACTTAGGTGACGACGTAATACTTCGCCAAGGTTTTTTTAAATTTACCTAAGACAATCTTCCGTGGACTCGTCATTACGAGGTGCTGAAAAGCACTCATCTACGATTTATAAAATGAAGATCGAAAACGCAGCTGGCGGATTAAATTGAAAAAGGAGCAAAATTACGGTTACCGATATAAATCAAAGTTAATGGCAGGCCACCGCGTATCGGAAGCCGGCAGTTCGAGGACCTCGCGAAAGAATTCTGTCTTCCAACCGTTAAGGAAGCGAGTAAATCTAAGTAGAACTGAAAGACTCCGATCTCTTGGACAAAAATGGTCTCGCGAGACTCTGTTAATTAACGTCCCGAGTTATCTCGAAACGTTCCAGACGGAATGATGGAAGAGGAGAGCGTCAGGAACATTTCAAGCTTATCGTTTGATCAGCAATTACCTTGACATTATCCGCGGGAATCGGTTAGAGCGTCGGACGATAGAGTGTTATTGATAATATTTCGCGATGAGAAACGGTAAACGTAACTGAAGCTAATCCTAGAGATCGCCGAGACCCTCTGACGTACGAGAGGCGTTATCATAGGTTTCCTCGAACGTTTGGCGAGCCACTATCGCCGCGATGTAGTTCGCGTAGACTGACTAATGATACCGGTGAACGTCAAGAAATCCGAAAGATCGATGGGAAATTTACCCGTGGTTCCAGCATTTCTTTCCATTGGCCTTGATAAAATGCTCCCGACGAGGCTGTGGGGCGGAGGGAAACGATTAAATCGTCGAGGAAACGTTCACCCACCGCTGCGTTTCGAGCATTTTTTTAAAAGCTAGCCACGAAGGTTAACGAGCTAGCCAATTTCTTCGTTATTTTGTCGACGTTACGTTTCGTTGTTGATAGAATCGAGTAATTTTGAAATTGTTTCGACAACTTTGACGTACGGGAGGAAACACCATAGACGCTCCGGTGGTTCGAATGAGTGGTAGGAAACACCATAAACGCTCCGATGATTTCAATGCGTGGGAAGAATCACCAAGGTTCTCTGATGACTCCAATGCATGGTACAGTAACATTGCCAAACCATTGTACAGGTTTTTAGTCTTTGTGATTCGAGGTTTTAGTCTGCTTGTTTAATTCACTGTGTTATATGATTTAAAAAATAAACTAATCGAGACTTCGTTTATAGGTACAAGAAGAATCGTTGGCAATAAAACTGGAGTTGGAGGGAAATTCCTTTGGAAATCGTCTACATTCCTTGATTTTATCTCTCGTTAAGTTTGTGTTCTTCTTTTTAAATTGTCACCGAATAGAATTCCAGTATCAGGGACGGTAAATCTTCGACAATCGATCAAATGGACCGGTTCCACTACTTTTGCAGATAAAATTCCTGCCATTCGTGGTCAAACACATGTTAGGCCCCAGGGATGTTGCTATTTGCATTCTCTCGTGGTTCGAGATAAGTTAAAACCGACTTGCGACCACGAAAGACTTAATCTTAATATTGCCTACACTTGCAGATAACTGAAGCACGCGTAACCAACTTGACGAACCTTGAACATTTCGATATGGTTGCTCGGAGTATAACTATATCGAAGAAACTCGTGAATTTTTCGCGGACAAAGTGGAATAAAATTAACGGGCGCAAGGAACCTCGTCTCCGACCTGAATTTTCCAAGAAAATTCTTCGTAACGGAACAAGGCCAAATTTGGACAAATCATCAGAACGACACGCCCACCAGAAAGTAGCAACTTGTGGTTGCACATCGAATTAGTGCGATTTGCGGTTGAAGAATTTTCCTTCGCACATTGCCCAACATCAAAGTTGCTAGAATTACTGATAGCAGCGGAGATGGAATCGTCCGGAATGCAGATTTCGAAACGATTCGATTGAAAGAATGTTGCAAATATGATATTATGCAGAAATCTTCGATTATGTCTTTGGTACAGTTCGAGGAAAACATAAAAAATCGTTTACTTTTCTGAAATAATTCGTGATTTAAATTATCAGGACAACACACAGCTATTCAATCAAGAATTAAGTAACGGTAGAATTCATGGTCGGGCGAGTAAACCCTCTTTCGATTATAACAACTGTACGTTCGTTGAAAATAATTTCTGGACGAATCAGACCGCATGCTATGCGAATAATCGCCTTGGAATAATTTCCATACGGCGGAAAATTCACGGCAACGTCTGCCAACGATTATATTTTCAGCAAGGTGCGAAGGAAAAGCCCAGCACCGCGGGCCTCGCTAATAATTTCACAACCACAAGTGGAGCGTCCGCGAATAGCTCCGCCCTCCAGGATCCCCTGAATCGTTCGCCTAACCGCAACTGCTACCAGTTTTCCGCGACCGCAGGAGCAGCGACCAAAATTCGAGCGACGTCCTTCGAAACAGAAAATATTTTTTACAAACATTTCATCGAATTGCCACGCGTGGTTTTTCAGGAAGTCCGAACAATCGATGGGGCTACGGTGAACCTCGAAACCGCAATCGACGTTGGAAGACTCGCGTACTCGCGTACGGTTGTCGAGCGAAGTGTGAAAAAGAATTCCTCGGGGGTCAAACTAATTTTACAACCGCAAGTGGAGCAAGCGTAACGGAGGTCGGTGAAATTCGACAAATTATTCGCTTGACCACGATTGGCAGGAATTCTTTGACGAACATGTGTGCAGTAATTCGTTTGACGTATTATTGCGGTCGGTTGGAACTGTAGATTTCGTATAAGACTTCTCTTTGATGTCTTTTTTATGGAGATAATGGTGGGGACCGGAGTTACATCAGTTTCATTTTTGAAAGATAAAACAAGATTTATGCAACAGAAGGTTAATTACTGGGTTGCCCAGAAAGTTCGTGACAATTGAAAACAAATTCAAAGGCACATTTGAATTCTGATACGTATTTATTGAATCACGTAGGTAGCATTTTGTTCCACGATCTTTCCACCTTTTAAGGGAATATATTCCGATGTATTCAGACTTGTACCACCTACCAAAAATCGACACGGACTTTCCAGACAACCCGATACTTCGCTGACGTACAAACGACCAAAGATTCATTTCTGTTCGTTAAGGATAATTGAAATTCACGCGATGGAGGGTTCATTGCTTTACTGACGTACAAAGGATCAGATATTAATTTCTCGTTCGAGCGATGATTGAAAAGTCGCGACGACATAGTGGTTCGATATCGAGCACAGACGCTGGCGTCGCATTTTCTCGAATTACGAGTTCGCGATCGAAGTCGTTGGAAGCGAGAGGCGATAAACGTCGCGCGCGACTAATCCCAGCGATCATCCTGACGAGGCTTTCGAGGAGAATTTATCGTACGCCGCGGGACGTCTTGTTTTTCTCGCTGCTGCTTCGCACGCCGAACTATGTGCGTAATGCATGCACGTAACGCAATATCGCGCCGCGGCGCGCAACGTGTAATTACTCCACGGCGTTGCTCGTAACAACCTCCGAGGCTCTCTCTAAATCTCTGACCTCCGCGATGCAATGGCTTCCCGCGCTTTTACCCCGATATAACAGTCCTGAACAGCCGATACAACAAATACTGAGTTTTCTTTCTTTCTTTTTTTTTTTTTAGGGGGACTTGGAGGAATTCCATCATTTTTTAGGGTTAACGGCAAACCCGAATCAGTGAAATTCTGAAACTCTTCACAATTCTATTTAGAAAGGCGATAGGTATACTTTTCTGTGCCAAATGTTAGATCGAATGATAAATTCAATCTCATAAATATTCGATAGGTGGGCAAGAAAACTGTGACTCCATTGTTAATTGCTGAGTAATTGTTAGCGTATATTGTATTAATAATACTGTGAAACACGAAACGACGTAAATTTCGAATTTTCCCCAATTCGTCGACATATGTATATCGACAAAGAACTCTCTGACATTTTTATTTCGTGAGAAATACTTCTTTTCTTGATAGGACAAATAATATACCAAATATCATGTTTTCATAGAAAATTTCCTTCTCTACGTAAACAGTGAAGCATACAACACCGTTCGTCGTTAGTTATGTTTACTACAAATACGAAAACCACGAGGGAGGGTTTGTTTTCCATCCACGATACCACCCTCCCCTCCAATAATATAGATCTCACCAATTTTCATCGAACTAGTTCCATCACTGTGCACGCGATATATACCTACTTAGTAATTAAAAGACCAATTTTCCAAACCGATTAGTCGGTCGAATTTCAGAACAGACTCTCCAAAGAGATCCAACACCCCCAAAGCGACGAGTCTGACGACCCCGCATAACGACCAGGAATGAAAAAAATCCCCACGGGGCTCGAGAACAAAATTTGTGAAATTTCAGGCTCAAAGATTGTTCCATCGGAACGGATTCCCCCGCGAAATTGTTTTTCTTACGAATAACAGACGCCGAGGCACGCGAGCGCCGCCATCTTAACCGAAGGCGCCCGTCGTCGCGCGTTGAGTATGTATCTAAATCACAGCTCGTGCTACTAATTACTTATAACGTTATTATACCTCTTTCTCGATGCTCCGATACTTACCGATTCTACGTTACATTCCGTTAGTCTACTACGTCTTGCGTGTGCGTTTATATAAACATATAAAAACACGATAAAAAGAAAATGAAAGAACAATGAAAAAGAAGAATCTGTATAAAATAACTTTAACGTTAATATCTCATAGTGGTATTTAAATATATATATATATATATCGTTTAACGTGCGCGATTCGTCGTCGACGTGCTCGTTTCTCGTCAGAGGACGGCAATGGAGTCGTCTTAGGAACAACAATTTCACCGGGTCGCTTGCGCGCAGAATACAGCCATCGTCGATCGACGATTCGACCGATTAATTACGAGAGTAGAAAAATAAATGACGACCCGCTGGGTCGTCCGCTTTAGGTTATCTGTTAACCTTCGTGAATTTATCGACGGAGCGAGCACATGTACGTAATAATATCAGTTCGACACTCTTTGTTCCGTCATCGGTCCAGACTACCGATCGTCAACAACGTCTGCCGAAGAATGGAAGCGTCTCTCAGACTCGGTGCTTGGCCTAAACACTGGAACTTGAACGTCTACAGAGCAATCTGGACCAGTGACGGAGAACAACTGTCGTGGAAGCCTTGGCAGCTTAGTCCTGACATGGATAAATTCACGATAGACAGTACCTCCCGCTTGTATGTCGCCGATTATTCCTCGAAACGCGCGAAAACTATATCTAGGGATCGAGCTTTGTTCTCTGGAAATTTCATTTGCTATGTTCGTCGATAGATCTGTGAGGGAAGTATGTCACTGGATCGGTGGTGTTCTTCAGAGTAAAATGTGTCCAAACACTACCCGAATGTTAACCTAATCACTGTATTAACCAACGATGGGCTAGAAACGTTCCAAACGAGGTTGCATTTGGATACATTTTCATCAGAAAGACATCACCAACCTATAGACACACCCATTACGTTACAACGGAAAAAATAGAAATTCAAATTCACATCGATGACTCGTTCCGTGCCATAAGAATGCTTCATTTACTCCCTCCAACATTCTCATGGTATACCACCTTGACTTTACCTGCAAGTCTCAACCTCGATCACCTCTGTAACATTAAAATCTGAAGCCCACGAATCGCTACCTTCCCCGGATACATACAAACAAGAGGACTCAGTGGACATAGAAGCGGGCGCTACTGTAACTCGCTCGTTATGGACGGCTTTCTGCGTTCGATCGATAGAATCCTAGATACGCGCGTCGCAACAACCGAGACGCTAGACGCCAAAAAACGTCCGCGATCCCCGGCACGTTGAAAGTCCAGCGCTTTTTCCACCATTCTTTTTTTTTTTTTTTGTTTTTTCAAGATCGCGTGTAACTCGTCGAATAAATTATCGGCGATACCCAGGGAGTCCCTGGATCCGCCATTTTGAGGCTAATATTCGTTCTAGGACGAAGAGGGTCGATCGCGAGAGGAAATCGGCGCCGTCCGCGGACGCGTCGATCTCGCGATCGTCGCCATTAGTCATGGTTCGCTCTGTGACCGTGTTCCAACCTCGTGAACCACTTCGCTCGGCTCTCTTGGCGAACGAAGCCTCTGAACATCGTGAAGGGAAGAGCAAGAAGAAACAGCGACAGCGGGGAGAGAGAAGAAAGAAATGGAGATCCAGAGAAGAGAAAGTAGAAGGACGAGACCTCGCACCGTGGCCACCTCAGGGTTAGAGGGGCGGCAGGAATTTGGGCGCGTGAAAATCGACGGGGATACGTGAAAAAGGGCGGCCAGGGTGTCCCAGCACAACTAACTGGGTGGATTGCAGGCAGTCCCCGAGGGATCCACCGGCACCTGATGAGGTTGACTCCTGTTCGTCACGCTGCTCGACGTGGTGGTGGTGGTGGTCTCGGCCGATGGGCTAGGATTCCCGCTGTTGCTGGTGCTGTTCCCTGTCGCCTGTTGCTGAACGCTGGGCTTCTGCGTCACGTGGGTCTGGTAGTGCTTCGCCAGGTGAGCCTTCTGTCGGAAGCTCTTGCCGCAGAGGGAACAGGCGAACGGTTTCTCGCCGGTGTGCGTTCTGATGTGCACGTTCACGCTGTACTTGTCCTTGAAGCCCTTGCTGCAGATGCTGCAGTAGTGCAGCGAGCGTTCCTTGCGCTGGATGCTGCCTGGAGAACCACCGGTGGCGCCCTGTTGTTGACCACCAACGTTTCCCGCAGCCTCGGGACCGCTGTTGCCGTTGCTGGCCGCGTTCGCGTTATTGTTGTTCCTGTTGGCGCGTCTGCAGTACTTCTTGGGCGCTTTCGTGGCAACAACCCTCGAAGGAGCCATCTGAAGCTGGCTGGTCGGTTGCTGTGGCTCTACGTCTGCTCGCGGAGCTGCCTGCTGCTGAAGGACTTCCTGCTGGGCAGCCGTGACCACCGTCACCGTGCTCACTTGACCAAGGTCCGCTGGAAGCGTGATGGTGCCCAGGCTGCCGCTCGTCGGGTCCAGGGTGTACATTACCGTGGTGGTCGCGGAAACATTGCAGACAGGCTCCAGGCTGCAGTAAGACTCCACTACTTCGTTCGCTATACTTTTCAGCTTCTCATAGTCACCCGGACGATAGGTCGTTTGATCCAGCTGGGATAGTAAGAGATCCTCGTCGGTGCAGGCGTGCATGGAGTCGTCTTGCTGTTGCTGCTGCTGTTGCTGTTGCTGCTGTTGCTGCTGTTGCTGCTGTTGCTGCTGCTGCTGCTGCTGATCGGCGACTATCTGCAGACCAGCGTTGCTCGTGACGGGTATCGACATGGCGGGACCCTGATTGGACGGCGACGAAGAGGAGACCACTTGAGCAGGTCCTGTGTACAGTTTGCCTTGGAGGGCGCTTCGCAAGAGACTCTCCGCCGAGTCACCGGCGCCTACAGCGACCGCAGCTGCTGCCACCGCGGCTGCTTCCTGAAGATTCTGATCGGAGAGCTTCCAATCGTTGTTGTTGTCTCCACCGGGGCAATTGCCGCTGTTGGACGATCCTCGGCCGCACAACTCCTTGCTCTCGACGAAACCGCTGTCGTCGGTCGTGTACTGCGACGACGCTACGGAGAAACGATCGGGATGAAACCTGTCGTTCACCGTCCGCGACACCTCGCTCACATTGGAGGTTTGATCGTGTTCCTGTTCGGCGGAGGCGGGCTCCATGCTCAGTATAGCGTCCAGGTCCAGGTTCGGTCGCAGGGACCAGGAATCGCTGGACGTGGGCGCTGGGCTCTTGCAGCAGTCCAACGCGTCCATCGAGTTCGCCTCGTTGTTCAGCACTGTCAACGTGTAGATGGCTCCGTCCGTATTCTGTCTGTCGTTCGCCGCGCATCCCCGACCCACCGTCTGATGATGGTCGTTGGAACCCTGGTGAACGGTGACGTTGTCGTTGCCGTGGCTCTGCGTGTTCGCGTGGGCCGACCAACAGTACTTGTTCAGATCCTCTAGGAGTATGTTGCAGGTCTGCTCCTTGGTCTCGTCGGTGGTCCAGTAGTCGCAGTCCGATTGGTCCATGGGCGTCTGCTCGTTGCTGGGCTGTACGTTGCACGCGTTGTGATGAGTCCTCACGTGGTGATGATGATGATGATGATGATGATGACTCAAGGAGCTCGTTATCGTCGAGACGGGCGGCAACGCCGTCAGAGTGTTGTTGTTGGTCTCCTTGATGAACGGCGAACCGTGGATGTCGCGGCTCGCCTCGTGCTCCTCGTGGCTCTGCTGAAGGTAACCGATGCTTCTGCAGGTCGTGCGATGCAGGAAGCTCTCCTCGTCGGAGATCCCGTCCGCCGAGGCGCAGTGAGGCGGCGGGGAGACGACGAAGTCGAAGAAGTCGGTCTTTGGCAGATCCTCCCCGCCCCCTCCCGGGGCGAATGCCTCCGTTAGATCCATGAAACCTTTTAAGTACTTCGTCCTCGCTGTTGGCTGTGCCCCAGGGTCAGGCTACTAGTGGCCTCGGTCGGCTGGCAGTGCTCGTGGCGTGGTGTCCGGGGAAAACGTTTCAGCAGAGGTGCTTCGCGTGCCTCCTCGCCCACCGCATCCTTCAACTCGGGGAATGACCTGGACAAACAGAATTGGACCTTCGGTGAGCATTACACTTGACCCTGATTAGGACGTAACAGTGCCTCTAATGCTATTTCGTACTTTTAAGTTAGCAATGATTGTTGCCTTTGATTGGAGTGGTTTGCTCCTCTTTGATAACATTTAACTAGAGATGGTATTATCGCCCTCAGGGGCTGTAGCTGTGTTTGTAGCTACAGTACGGGCTTAGCGACCCCGAGGTACCCGAGATAGAAGGCCAACGGGCCCCGATAGATGAGAAGAAAGAGGTACTGCAGTGTTAAAACAATGCAGGAGTCGTGCAAGACGATGACAAGGAGAATGGAAATAAGCTAGTAACGAGTAAGCAGTAGTGCAATAACTTTGTATAATAAGTTACGCACTTTAAATAAATGAATGAATGAATGATGGTATTATCCCTCCTGGATCGAAGACGTTATGAGTGCCAAGTTTGGCATACAATACAACCACTGTTGTATGATTGTCAGGGTAGCCATGTTGGACAGCAGCGTCCCACGTACCCGTAGTGCAAACAGGCAACTGCCATGAATTGCCAAAATGAGAAGAACATGAGAATGATGAACCCTAAGAGATGGACCCTAGGGATAGTGGACAGTGCTTGAATCCTGCCTTCAAGTTGAAACAAATCTTTTACGTCAAAACGTCAGTGACCAATTCGAACTAAAACCAACATCAAGTATCATACCAATCAAACCTTCCTCCTTGACCGAAGAACGCTAACCTTCACACCCACGCTAACTTCCTCTTAAATACTCATAGAAGCAAAAAGCAGCCAAAACTTGTTAAGGAAGCCAAAAGATACATTATTGAAAAGAAAAAATGCGACAAAACAGCCTTCCAATGCCGAAAGGTTCTCCCACTGCTGAATTCGACCCTGATCTAAACGCTGACCTAAACGCTGACAGCCGCGACGAGACGAAAACCGGATCAGGCGACAACGCTGCAAATCGCGAACGTGACGGGCGAAAATTGCGAGCGTACCGCGAGATCGACTCCCGCGGAGTCCGAGGACAATGGCGCATACCGCGACAACGTGTCCCAGATTTTCCAGCGTTTTCTTAGGCGACGGGCCAGGGGAATAGGATCGGTACCACGCGGGCATTAGGCCGAAGAGCAGGCTCGCATGCTCTAGGCGTGGGAACGCACCGTGGCCGTGTATAAATTCACTATAGCTGGCCGGAGCCGGCTAGCCTGCGCAGCAGTGATTCTTAACCACTATGGCGAAGTTGCACCAGTCGTGAAGTTGGTTAGGGTAATCTTTGGCAAGAGATTCGACGCATTCTTTGAAAGAGGGAGGCGTAGTTAGGTATTTAGGCTGTGAAGCAGATGAACGTGAACATTTTTTTACTGTATTTACTATTGCTTTCATTCTTCATCTTAAGGAATCAATTAGACCTTTAAAGATGGCTACAGTAATGTTCGACAAGTGATTTAATGAATTCTTAAGAGAAAGATAGCACAGCTAGTTATTTAGGCTACGAAGTACACGGATAACAACGTGGACAGATTTTTTTATTTCTCTTACATATTTACCACATTTGGTCTCGGTCTTAGAAAGTCAATTCGACTTTTAAAGATGGCTGCAGTACCGTTTGACAAGAAGTTTAATGAATTTTTCAGGGATAGGTGGCACAGCTGGTTGGTTAGGTTGCGAAGTAGATGGATGATAACGTGAACATTTTTTTTTATTAGGTTTACATATTTGCTAGTGCGTTCGTTGTTCGAGTAGTTTAATGAATTCCTCGAGAGAAGGTGGTGCAGTTAGTTATGTAGGCTACGAAGTAGGTGGGTGACAACGTGATCTTCTTTTAATTAGTCTTACATATTCTCTACATTTGTTCTTGGTTCTTAGAAAACCAATTAAACTTCTGAAGGTGGCTGCAGCAACGTTTGACAGGTACTTTAATGACAGGTACGTTAATGAATTCCTCGGAAAAAAAGATGGTACAGTTAGTTATTCAGGCTATGAAGTAGATGAATGACTACGTGGACATTCTTTTTAATAGGCTTATACATCTATCAACGTCTCCTTTTACGTTTAGAGAGTCAATTAGACTTCTGAAGATGTCTACAGTGTCGCTTTGGCAAGAGGTTTAATGAATTCTGAAAAAGAAGTCAGTGCATTTGTGTATTCGGACTGCGATGTAGGTAGATGACTACGTGAGCATTTTTCTGATTACTCTAATTCATCTACTACTGCGTTTATTCTTGCTCTAAAAAAGCCTACCGGGCTTTTGAAAGTCGATGCAGTAACGTTTGACAAGAAGCGCAATGAATTCTGGAAAAGAAGTTAGTGCAGTGTCTTTGGAATACTAAGCGGACAGATGATCACGTGAACACTTATCAGTTTTATTCATCCACTGCTGCGTTTGTCAGCAATATTTGCCAGGAAGCTTAACGAATTCTCGTCGGTTCAATTGGCTTATTTAATACGCAATAACCATGTATCTCTTTGCAGTTGGGTGGGTTACAAATTTTCCCGCAGTTCGCTTAGCTTATAATACTTTAAAGTTTTTCATTTGTGTGGCAATACTATGAACTAACTCTAAAAGTACAATAAGTGGAATCAGAAACGTGTACGAGTCAAAACTTGTTAGCAATGTTTTTCTTTTACAATCGTGTGCCTCGAGGAGTTATTCGATGTTCCTGTCCACCAACCAAGCAGGAACAATAGACCAGCGTCAATGTACCCGTGACACTACCAGGACGTTCGAATGACCTATTCGATGCAGTTCACTTGCGCGTGTGTAGTTGCAAACGAGCTCCACATCTATTCCGATCACTACCGGGTTAATAGGTTGCATCGATTTTACGACACAAAGAAGGTCAACCAGTTTGCCTTCCAAAGGGATCGAAGACAGCCGTAAAAGTCGCTGTTTACCGATCAAACTCGAGAGGCGTGCCACAACGCACCAAAGCGGACCTACGAAACGAAAAAACACAGCGGTCAGCCAGTCGGGCAGATTCATCTCGGACGACATCGGCTTTGAGCGGAAGATAACAGGACCTGTTCCCCGATATATTCAAGGGTGGAAGAAGGGGCGGAATCCAATCAATCCCGTCATCGGGCAGCGGATGCGACGTCCGTGCGCGTCGGCGTGCCAAGCGCGATCGGTACGGATGATCTAGCGCACGAGCGATTCCAGGACTCGATTTCGTAACGCCGAGAGACCGTTCCGTCCTCGGACATCCGGGTGCCGTGGTTGCAGAGGTATCTCTCGCGTAGCTGCAACGGGCCCCGAGATCAATTGTTATACACCGTGGCTGGCATTTAACCGCAGGCGCACGAAGCGTGGCTCGCGTCCGCGCTGTTGCAGCCGCATTAATTTGGTACAGTGCGTTGTAGTATGATACCTCGCGGAAAAGAAGTTGCGCAAGTCGTCGCTTATGCCTCATACCGGCTACGGTGGCTGTGTGCGCACGACCGGTATGTACGTGTACTAAGTTTCTGGTCTTTATGCCTCCCGTGGCCCCCCGAACCCCCCGGTCTTCATGCCGCCACGTATCCCAGGCTCTCCGGGCTCTGGCTAGATCTGTTTCTGTGTCTTTCAGAGATTCCAACGTCTCTCTCGCTCCGTGCCGTTCCTCCGCGGCTCCTCTGTCTCCTGGAGCACGCTGACGCAGTGGTTCTTAACCTTTTTCAGGTTTCTGTAACGTTCTGGGTGACGGAAGTTTCATTTTTGGCGGTTGAGATTGGTTGATGGTGGCGTGGGGTCTGATGGAGACGTTTATAGGGAGTTTGGTTTGCGGTTTAAGGGAGAAATAAGTCTAGGACTATGTTCTTTTTAGCGATTTGCAGGAATTTTTTAGCAAGGAATGTATATAATTTAACGAAAGTTTGAGAATATTTTGTACGGATATTCAAGTAAATATTGCAATTTTTTGGAAGTGTTTCTTCGGAAAATGTGGACGATATCAGCTGGTCACTATCAGAAGATCAGCATGAAACGTAGTTGTTTTCGTACATTCTGGAGGGCACAGTTTTCGTCTGAAATCAATAGGGATTTAAAAACCTCCATTGATTTGGGGTTCCAAAAGGGTTACTTTGACCATTCGGTCGATATTGCGTTTCACGTACAATCGAAATCGATCATACCACATATTACAACAAAGATTTTGTAGTAGTACCCTGATCGTTCTCCAACATAGTATTTAAGAATGAAAGAACATACCCGAACCGAATTCCTAGTAATCAGCCTAACGAAGTAAATCGAAAGTGCCGATGACTGAGTTTCCATTAAAATTAGATTCGATCACCTTAATCTGGGTTATGTCTGTTTGGCTGACTACTCAGTAACCATAATCATGGATTACATGTTACCCAACACCACTGTCGACACGTTCGCCTGACTTCAATTACCACTTTTCGCTCTCGTTTGCTTCTGCGTCAGGTATCCTCCTCCTCTCCCAAAGCGCAGAACGCATAATAAAGTCGTCATCCTCTTTAATCGCCATCATCATCGTTACGATTACAACCAGTTCAGTACCGCGCGCATTAAACTCGGTAAAAGCCATTGGTTTCGGGAATGAGTCCCGTTACCATTCTCCTCAACAGCACAGTCGTCCAAGACGAATCGACATTGACTGAGTGCTGTCTTCAAGTTCTGCAGCACTTAGTTCGCTTTTTCGTCGTCCTTTTTGGCCAATTTTATTTATGATTGCCATCTCGAAGAAGAATCTAGACTTAAGGGGGCAGCGCACTGTAAAATTTCAAATAAAATCATTCGACTTTGTTTGCATTTTCTTAAAAAATGTAACACCATGGACCTTATGAGATCGGTTTTTCTTTGTTTGTTCGTTAAACAAAGTGTAATGAAAATTTGAAAAAATAATAACTGTTCCGAGCGACAACGTGGGAGCGAATATAGTACCGAACGAAAGTAAACGTTGATGATGAAATGATATCGTAACAAAGCATTTATAAACAAGCTTCATATAACGCATATAAAGCAATTCGTCTATCTAGTTTCTTTATAAAC